TAATAAAAATTTATTAAAAAAAAGAAAGAAAGAAAGAGGCAGGAGCTCCAGGCAAGCAGGTAGGTGGGCAAGAGCTATGGACAGGTGGGCAGGTCCCACAAGTGGGCGCTACAGAGGGCAGGAAAATGGGCAGGTGCCCACCACAGAGCACAAGTGGGTGGGTGCTGTGGGTGGGCGCTATAGAGTGCAGGCAGGCAGGACAGGGAGCAACTTGCAACTTCCTGCCAGCTTCCCCGTTGACTTTGCTTGTGGGAAGCCAGCAGGAAAGGTCGCAAATGGCAATCACATGACCGCAGGATGCTGTAACAGCTGCAACTTCGTGGACCAATCGCAAGTCCCCCTCATTCAGCACCGTCATAACTTTGAACGATCACTGGACTTCCGGTGGGAAAATGGCAGAGTGAGCAGCTCCCTTTGAAATGGGAGTCATCGATGTGGCGGACTGGGGCTCAGGCAGGATCCCTAGAGCCCAAAGAATTCTCCAGATTCAAGGAGAATCCTAGAAATCAACCCACATGTCCTCTGGACAGCTGTTCCTGGAGAGAAGATCACGAAACAGAGGTTTTTGCGATTGGCTGGTGAGTGGGCAGCTAGGAGGCAGGAGTTTTCAGCAAGTTTTAAGCCGCGCCAAAGCCGAGGAAAAAAAACAGACACTAAAACCGATCTTCCCATTTCTACATTATTTTTTTGGTTTATTATCTTTTTAGTTGAAGAGAGGCTTTATCTGGTTACAGAGGACTATTTCTTTTTGGAGATTATCAGTATTTGGGGGGCCTATTAATTCTGAAATTGACTTGGATATTGGGGTTTATTTATACTGCAAAAAAGACGAAGGCTTGGATTATTGGCTATTTTTAAAGAAACAAGGAAATTTATTTATTGTTATTTTACTTTTTAGCGAATCTGCTTTTGTGGTATTGGATTATGGATTGCGGATTCTCGTGGGAAAATTGCTTCTTCTTACCTACTCTGCAGTGATTGGTGTGGACTTGTAAACAAGGTAATTGGAAAAGTTTCCTGTTCTTTTTACTGAGTTGTAATGTATATGTTTGGACACTAGAGTGCGCTGTTGACTATGGCAACGAAGTGTTCACAATCTCAGGCTTAGTGATCTTGAAGCATTAAGATCTATGTTTGATGAATTTACAGGGAAACTGACACAATCTACTGAAGCTAAATTTGAGCCTTTGGGACAGAAATGGGATAAAAAGCTGGATAAGATTGTTGCTGATTTAAAACAAGTGAATGACAAAGTGGATTTATTGGAAAATAGAATGGAGACTAAAGATGTGGAAATGGAAAGAGGGCTGGATAATTTTGCTTGAACAGAATTCTGTTTAAGATTCAGAGCTATTCCAGAACATCCTAATGAAGATAACAGGAAAGTAGTGGTA